AAAACATTTCATCTAAAGCACAGAAAAGGCGAAAAAGGTCTTTATTGGGTTTACTTTAGTGTTATTAGAAAATAGAGCTTTCATGACACACACCAATCTATCTATACTAACATTATAAAGAAATATTTGTATTTTTATATGTATTGAAATAACTCAAAAACTACTGGGCAGATTTCAACAATTCTTTCAACGTTTAAAAGCCACGTTATCAGAGAGTAACATAGGTTATATCTATTACTGTTTTTAATTTCACATTGATAAAAATCAAACAAAAAATGGGGCATTACCTTCCGGATAAAAAAGAATTATCAAAATCGGTCCACTAGCGGCGGAGTTATGCCGTAACACACATAAAAAAAAACATACAGACGAATTGAGTACCTCCGTCTTTTGGGAAGTCGGTCAAAAATCGCGGGCAATAGCTAGTAGATTATACATCTATGGTTAAAATTATCTCTTTTCGTTCCAAACGAAAGCGTAACTACTTTCTTATCTAATTTTTAACAATGTAATCCCACCTTTATAATATTAATTAACAATTTATCAAAATTTGTCATGTAACTCTAATATACAATATATTACTTGACTTCTTACTTATATTTTCTTATATTGCACCTTTTTACAATAGGCCTTAATTTAAATGAAGCAAATGCTTGTTAACTTTACAATAGGTCGACTGCCCAGGGCGAGGTGGACGACCGCCCAGGGCGAGGTGGTCGACGGCCAGGGCTCTTGACAAGGGCGCCACAAGTCACATAAGCCTATTTACATCCCTAAACATTACTAAAAAAGGGGACACCGTACATATCTCACCCTGGGCACTAATAAAATAGGTACACTAATGCAATGTCTTAAACAATGCAACTATGTTGAAAACAAGGCATAAAATGACATGAACCCTTTAAAAATTCCATTAAAGAATAAACAAAAATATAAACATCCGGTCTATGGGTGCTTGAAATGCTTCTAATATAAAATATTTGTTATTTCTTGCAATATGAAAAAGATTTTAAATATCTAGTCAGATATCAACACAAGATTCATTTATATCTATTTAATTACACATGATATAAAAATTAAACTTTTTGTCTACTTTATGTTGAATTTTAAGAGATTAAAGGCCTGTCCCCCGTAATTTTATATTGTCTGATAACAATCCAAAATGTAAGATATGTAATGGAAATATCGGATTTTGTAACATTTAAGCTATTTGAGCCTCTATCAGCCAGCAGTGGGACAGGCCCTAAGAGTTTAAAAAAGGGACTGTCAGTTATTTTAAAAACTGTTTAAATAAAATCAATGTCAAGATTCCTTCACAGAAATAACAGAAAATATGTAAGATGACAAAAAAGATATATAAAAATGCAAGAAACAAGGAAATAGCTACATTTATAGCTTGTTATCAACCCGTACTGGGCCAGTGTGGTTGACTATGGCTTAGTCACCCTAGCTACCCTATATGGACATATAGTGAGTTGGTGATGATAGTTTGTTTAAAGCAAGAAATATAATGTATGTACACCTTTACTATTTTTTTTTGTTTATTTACATTGCAATATAACAAGTATCTAGTTTATAAAATCTAATCTTAATTTTTTTGTTAATAAATGAAAGTTCTGATTTCAAAAAATAACTAATAATACAAGATTTTTTTTAGATAATTGTAAACTGGTAACTAGTTGTATGTTTGTGTAAATTAAAAAAAAAATTAATAGATTTCAAGATTTTTTTCCTAAGGTTGGTACTGAAAAACAAATAGACATGAGAAAAGTACGGTAGTTTCGTAAAATCGCGTTATAAGGGAACACTTTACATTATTTTCCCAATGTTGGTAATATATTTTTAAATGTTCACAATTCACGAATTAAGGTTAGATTTCGCAGTAATATTAATTTTCATTATGTAACATCTCAACTTTCTGCACAAGTTGACAATATCTTACGTACAAAAAAGTGTTCATTACAAGAATAACAATAATCAATCCATCTAACACAGACTTCATATTGACTGTGGTATCAAATACCACATAATGTAAGGGCTAAATATCACAATATCTTTCCTCGGTATTCTTGTAGACTAAATAACCAAGCAGTACCGCAACAGCCGTCAGCATCAACGTAAAAAACTGGTAAATCTTCAACTTATTTATCTGCCTATGTAAAACTTCGTAATTCATTTGTAAATTATTCAAAGCATTCGTCACAGTATCAGATTTCTCCGGTTCCTTCTCTAATAAGTTACCATTTTTAGATACTGCTTTTTCTGGGAAATGACACTTCAATCTGTACTCATCGACCTTACTGCCAGACGAATTCTGCCAGATATCGGTGATCTCCTTCTGTGATAGATCTGCTTTAGGTATTTGGACTGACATGACAAGAAAACGGTCTTTAGTCACGGTACGAAGATGAAATCCTGGTTGTACTACGATTAGTATTGTTTGGGAAACACCGCTTGGTAACACACCACTGCTGGGACGAACTCTGAACTTCTCCGGAGATGTTGTGCGTATTTTAAAAGATACAACGCTTTCATCCATATTTGTAATAGTTATTTGCCCTGATATATCATCATTTTCCGCTTTAAATATTATTGTATCATTCGGGGATATACGTAGCATCTCTCCAGGGGAATGTTGGCTATCTCCTTGTTCCGCAAATGTCACCTTTTTAGATATAATCTCAGACTTCTCGGATATAAACTCGAATGTATAATTATCTTTGCCTCCCCAACATGTTAACGCTTGTTCGGGAGGTACAAAGTCTTTTAATGTATCTTTACTAACGAATTTCATTTTTTCAACACCTTTTGCAGGCAGAAGAGATTTGATAACTTTAAATGCAGCCGACATAACCCATGGCATTTGATAAATAATTATGTAATTCAAGAAAAAGGGGTAATAACTTTTGAATAATGATATCAAGTAATTAGTCAACTCCATATCCATGTTGCTTAATCCACAGCCATCTAAATCGAAGAATAAAGTTATTTTATTACCATTTTCCTCTCGTTCAATACGATCGAACCAGTAGATAATCGCTTTTTTTATCTCCTCAAAGTCTTTCTGTCCTTTGACATGCATTTTTGATTTTATTATCAATAGTAAGCAACCGTCGATATCACGACCTCTCGGGAAAAAGACACCTTCATTTATATAGTCCATTCTAATATTAGATTCATTAATTTCATTCGCCCCAACGGATTTCCGCCATGTAAATATATCCCATAACATGTCGACGGCCAGTTTTATATCATTATCAACGTGTTTTAACACTCTACGAAGATATTTTTCGTCCTTCACACGATCTAAGTCCAAAGGGTGGAAGTTATTTGGTGAGTCTTTTAATTTCGCTTCGAACTGCGATCTCACATCTGCAGGCGTAGCCATTTTTGTAATTCACACACTTAACACTTTATTATCTTAATTTGAACAGTAAAATTAGTATCTGAATTAATTAAAACAAATTACAATTATGTTCGGTATTTGCACAAAACAGATGATTTTCAAATGTCATGTCATCCGACTGAAAGTTAAAAGCATAGATAAAAAAAATATTTTATTAAACCTATCAACGAAATAGTGGTTGACATAATATAGCTGTTTCGGTTATTAAAGTAGCAGTCTCTTAACACGTTGAATGTAACTGTACTAATTATGACAGTTATGACTTAAATGAAGTTTAGAAGTGTAAGATTTCTTTAATTTTAACTGTGTTTAATTGGCAGTTTAAATTTTATAAATTAAAAATGTAATTTTGTGCCATTATATTACTGTTTGTTAAAATCAAGATGGGTTTTTAACGTTCTATTTCAATACATTATGTATTTTAAATAGTACTTCTTGCAGTCTTATAGTAATTATAGGTCATTTGTTCAGTATCAATTGTGTAAAAGTTGTTTTTTTTTTATAACATAAGGTGGCAAACGAGCAAGCGGCCACCTGAATCTGCCAAAATGGCGAAGCGACCGCTGCCCATATATATCCGCAATTGCAGATGCGTTGCCTACCTTTATCTGACAGAGGAGGAGACGAACATAAAGACGATATTTCCCCTTCCTATGCATCTCCTCCTCCGTCAAATCCACTACCCCTTCCTATCCTCTCCTTATAAGAAAAGGGTGGTAAAGAGAAAGGAACTTAAATTAGGCCTTCGGCACCACACTCATCAGACGAAACACGGAATTGCTTCCCTTTCACGCCTGTCTTCTGTGTAGTCGTGGTATAACACCGGGCGTGCCGGCCCATTCGTGCTAAGATGTTAAAGTGGCCACTACCACTGTCAAAAATGATTATTTCAAAATTACCGAAACGAACTACTTGGAGGTAGCCGTTATATTAGAATAGTAACATAACCTTAATAATATAAAGACATCACTAGTAATGTTACATACAAACACAATAATGTTATTGGACAGTTGCTTTTGCCGCGTTACAAGTATTTAGTCTTGGGTGAGCACCTTTTACTATCAATTAAAATTCCTACATCTCTTTGTTCTGAATAAAAGTAAAAGTTACTTTAAAAAATCAATATATGCATTTTTACCTAGTAAACTTTGTACATTATCTAGTTATTATTTTGAATACAAGTTTAAATATATAAATATTGGGATAAGGAGTTCAATGTGTAACAAGTTATTTTGTTTATCGTGTCATTGACACGACAAAAGTACCTTGAAAGATCTACTTGAAAGTAAAAAGTATTTATTTCTGTTATATAATTAGATTCTGGCAGCAAAATGATATTTTTACAAATTGAGCAAAGACAGCATGGATTATCGCATTTTGTTATTCCTTTAAATCTTTTTAAACGCGAAAGTTCAGATGGATGTGGATGGATGTTTGTTATAGTTGGTAGCTTGAACTGAACTTGGGATCTCGGTTTTATTTGTCACAGATGTAGAGGATAGTCTGGAAATCTGCTTTTGTTTTTTTTTTTAATTCTATGCAAACGGAGTCGCGGGCGAAAGCTAGTATTTTTTAAAAACATTGCTACGATTGATGTTTATTAAAACGGGAAGTATTAATTAAAATAACAGTTATTTTACATAATAAAAAGGGAAAATAAATGAACGTGCACGGATGTTTTTTTTATTATTTATTAAATAACACTAAGAAACAAATACTATTGCACCATTCAAACTTCACAATACACGTTTCTAGTCCGTTTATACAATAGATATCCAAAAACTACTAAAAGTATGCTAAAACCGAGTGTTAAAATTTCAAATAACTTTAAAACATCGATACTTCTACTCAAATAAAAGTGTTTTCTGTCAAGAGTACCCAGTGATTCCATCATCGATGATTTCTGTAGTACATTTTCTTCAACAAAAAGTTTGCATTTTAACCGATTTTCATTAATTTTAGCTTTTGGATTCTGCCACACATCGTCTATTTGTTTCTGTGTTAAATTGTCATCTATTAACGTAGATAGAATCAAAAATCTCTCTTTAACAACTTCATTACGATCGAATCCAGGTAAAACTATAATTAAAATATTTTGCATCCCATTTCCAGCTAAAACGCCTGAAGTCGGTTTCACTTTAAACTTTTCCGGACCAGTCGTTCTTATTTTAAACGCTATTCTAACGTTATTCGGATTTGTAACGGTTAATTCCGATTTCAAATCACTACTGTCTATGGTAAACGTTAGATAATCGTTAGGGTTTATTTGAATATCCGTTAAAATAACGTTATCAACGAATGTAACTCTTTTGTTTCCGTTATTTCTTTCCGGTATAAATTCGAATTCGTAACCATCGGTGCCTCCGTAACATTTTAATGCTTGATTTATTGGAATTAAATCTTTTATTTTATCTTTATTTATAACTCGTAATCTTTCAATAGCTCTGGTTGGTAACAGACCTTTCACAACCCTATACCCAGCTGTCATTATCCACGGCATTTGGTAAATTATTATATAATTAACGAATTTAGGATAATAATTCTTTAATAATGTTATCATATACGCAACAACTTCAACTTCAATGTTATTAATACCACATCCTTCTAAATCAAAGAATACAGTTATCGGTTTTCCAGATTCTTCTCTCTCTAACCTTTCTAACCAATAAACGATGACATTTTTCAAATCATCAACTTTTTTAATACCCTTATTATATAGTTTCCATTTCAATATAAATATTAAACAACCATCGATATCTCTACCTCTAGGATAAAATATTCCTTCTCTAACATACTCCATATTTACAATATTTTTAATATTATTTATATTATTATTTTTCCGCCACATTAAAGTCGACCAAAGCATTTTTAAACCTAACTCAACATTACCTTCACAATGTTCTATCACTCTATTCATGTATTTATTGTCTTTAACTCTCTCGATGTCTTTTGTGTCAAATTCTCCCGGTGGGTTTGGTACGCCATCTTTTAATTTCTCTTGAAACTTGTATCTTAATTCATCCACTTTTCTCATTGTTTTGGTTTAAGTGCTTGATTGCTTCTTCTGTTATATCTCGCTTTGGATTTATATGGAGGTTACTAGTCGATTTTTAGTTGTGCAACTAAACAGTTGAATTCGCTGCAATAATCGACAATAGAACAGTTTTACGATTGTTTTCTCAAAGATGTGCACGGTCTTAAAATATTTTGCAATTAGTGTTATAGAGGCGGTGCTATCGCGGATTGTTCTGTCAAATAATATTAAAAAACCAATATTTTACGCACTATGTTTTCACTGTTTATGTCTTACACTGTTCAAAACACTTCAACAAACGTTACTTGTTCGTTTTGTTTTTTTTTTACTTTTTAAATGTTGTCCGTTTATCACTTTTGGACTGCAACTTCACTAACAACAAGCACTTTTATTTCTTCTAAAATTCCTTTTTATTGTAACTTTTTACACAAGTTATGAACACAATAGCGAATCGTATTTGCGATATTTTTAACAATATCGTTCAATGTTACATCTAATCATAACCTTATCTGATTTCCTGATAGTTGCGAAAACGTTTTTAGTCTTATATAGGATGATTTAAAAACCTAGTTTTAAAAAGCGTGGTCCCTAATGCCAAGTTAACTAAACTAACAGTGGTATAGCCCGCTACAACATATTTGTACGAGTGGGTCGGCTCGCCCGGTGCAATACCACGACCACACAGAAAACAGGCGTGAAGTGGAAGTAATTCCGCGTGTCGTCTGATGAGTGTGGTGCCGGAGGCCTAATTTTAATCTGTTTCCCTTTCCACCCTTTTGTTAAGAGGATAGGATGGGAAGGAATAATAGGTTTGACGGTGGAGGAGACGCATAGGAAGGGGAAATGTCCTTTTTGTGTACGTCTCCTCCTTCGTCGGATAAGGGTAGGCAACGTATCTGCAATTGCGGATGTCTGGGCAGCGTTCGCTTCGCCATTTCGGCGGATTCAGGTGGCCGCTTGCTCGTTTACCACCGTATGTTATAAAAAAACGAGAAACTCATTCTTGTTAAGCAGTTTAGTATTACGTGGCACGAGTTACTTGCGAAAAATGGAACAAAACGGATGGACTCGACTCTAATCTACTCTGCTCAATTTTAATTGTTCAAACAAATTTAGTTACTAAATAACTGTTAACACGTTAAACGCCATGGGGGTCACCGGTGACCTCACCCTTCCTCTATCATAGCGTCATGGGGGTCATCGGTGACCTCATCCTTCCTCTATCATAGCGCCATGGGGGTCACCGGTGACCTCAACGTATCGTCATATTCAAACTACTTTTTTCGCCGCCGGCCATTCTGACTGTTACTTTATTCGTGACCAGCAGAACTGTAGAACTATACTGTCCAGTGGGATAAACATACCTTGTAAGGAATTATTAAACCCATGTACAGAATTGAATAAATCTTATTTTCTATACGTATAGTAACATAATAAACAAATTACGACCAAAAGTATTTTTACGATTTTTAATTTTTTCTATCGGCGTTTAACTCTATACTCTATGCACTTATTGACACATCCTGTATTTTTATATCATATCAGACATTGTTATCGATGTTTTGTCCCGCCTTGTCTATGGCAAGGAAGTCAGTCTGCTCAATAATCAATAATGGCGCTGGACTGTTTATTATGTAAAACAAAGGTTGAATTAAGTCGAAAAAATTTGCAAGTTTAAAAGAACTTTTCTGTATCTATCTGTATATAATAAAATTAAAATATCTGTGTATATTGAGAAAAAAATCACACTTCTTTCGATGGATTTGCGTTGCTAAGAATAAAAATCAATTTTTAAATTCTTGTCTGTCTGTCCGTGAGTACGTGTTTGTTCCGTGTAATCTCAGGAACGGCTGTTCCGAATTTGATGTGAAGATAGAAGATACGGGAAAATATATTTTTTTTCGATTTCAAATTTCGCGCTAAAAATGTCGGATAGATAGCTAAGGTATGCGAAGACATTATCGGTTTCTTTTTTTTATTTAACTTTTATTCTGAGCTACAAAGCCGCGGGAGAAAACTAGTTTTGAAATAAATGAATAAATCATGAATTAAGATTAAAGTTACGATTGTAAATGTCAAATGAATTAAGCTTAAAAAATAAATAAATAGAAATTCAATTAACACTTTTAGTTTTTTCGAGAAAATTATGCAACTTGGTGGAAATGTTCAATAATTTCGCTGTGATTTTGATTTATCTAGATAGGAATAAATATACCAAGAAAATATCAAGTAATCATTGTTCATGAAAATGGCGGGATTTGAACCGATCGGTATATTCAGATATACAAAAGTTTAGATATTTTTCTACAGAACCCACGTACAATAATATAAAACTTGCTTGATTATTCGTTGTATTTGCATATACGAGTATAAATAAACTGTTATACATAATAACTTACGTCAAACTATTAAAGATAAGAGCTTTGGTTGCATTTATTATCTGTGTAACATAAATTGTTACACAGTATCACTTGAACTGTAAAGTAAACGAGTGTTTATTTTAACTAAAATTAATATAAAACACGTTGTTATAGATTGGCGAAAGAAGAAGAAGACAGTTTAATATTAAAAAAAAAGCATATTTGTTTAAAGTGTTAATGAATTTATTAAAAAAGGCACCAAAATGGAAAAAATAATTGAAGTACGAAATATGTTCGAGGCAAAGATTAAGCAAGGAATACCAAATCCTCCCGGAGAATTTGACCATAGAGATTTACAAAGAGTAGATTCGGATAAATACATAAAAAGGATATTAGATCATTGTGAAAATAATACAAAATCAGCTGCGAAAATGCTATGGGATATATTAATATGGAGAAAACAGAATAACGTTTATAATATAAAAGAACAAGTTAATGTTGATTATTTAAAATCAGGGATATTTTTCCCTCACGGAAGGGATAAAAATGGTTCATTATTGTTTATAACTAAGTGGAAATTATACACAAAAGGACAAATGAATACGGATGAGTTAAAAAAAGTGATAATTTACTGGTTAGAAAGAATGGAAAAGGAAGAAGATGGTCATCCGATATCTTTATTTCTGGATATGAACGAATGTGGAGTACGAAACATGGATATCGATATAATAATGTATCTAGTATCCCTTTTGAAGAATTATTATCCGATGTTTATTAATTATAGTATAATATTTCAAATGCCGTGGATAATGTCAGCTGGGTTTAAATTAATTAAAGGGCTATTCCCAGCGAAAGCTGTTGAAAGATTCCGTTTCGCGACTAAAGATAATTTAAAAGATCTTGTGGTACCAGACCAAGCTTTAGTCTGTTGGGGAGGGAATGATCCGTATGTTTTTGAATTCATACCAGAAGCAGAATAGATTACCTATATTTTTGGTACCGGTTTTAGCGTTCCTAACGCCTTGGTTAGATTTTTTCGGTGCCCCCTTTTTTATGTGCTTTGTGAATATACTGCTTGTATTAGAGCGGACGCACATTTGACTAAACTCGCATAAGTGTTGTGCGTTTCTCTATTGTTTCGCGGCCTTCAACTGTTTACTGCACAAATAAATATCGAGTAGTGTGAGTTGTGCGATTTTTTCGTCAAAGGAAATATATGAAAAAATTTAAAACCGTATGGTTTTTGTTTTTAAAAATTGTTAATGATATGTTACAATTTAATCGAATATATATATTAAGACTTGCCATTAAAGTAATCAAGACTATATAATATTTTTTTTTAAGTAAACAATCTGATTTTAATAAAAAAAAATTTAACCGTGTTTTATTTGAACACTTGACCTATTATCGAAGCTTTTTACTCAACATTAAAAACTGGTTGTTTAAAAAAAACAGTCCTTCACCTTTATTACAAGGCGTTACGTTACGCACGCAGACTGGGGACCTGGCACGAATATTTTCGATTAAGTATCCGCAAATATAAATATCGACACAAATGTGTGTTCTCATGTCTATTTTACACTCATTGCACTAATCTAATATTGTCGATGTTACGCAAATTTTCTCGTAAATATTCGTGCTAGACCCTCCTTACGCATTTTAAAAATGGCGACATATTTCCTTTGCAACAATTAAATAGTTTTCTTTTATTCTATTTAATTTACTTTACCCTTTCTTCGAATCATATTTATTTGCAATCGTCTTTTTCGTCCTTTGGAGAGCTTAGATTAGAAAAAATCCCTACACAAATTATTTTTATTTTATTTATATAATGAGCTCCTTTCGTCCCATAGGATAAAACTTTTAACAACATAAAATGTTCGAAATTACATTTTTAAAAAAACGCCATCTATCGGCAATGCTATTTACTAGTTGAGAAATCTCATCAAACAATTTTTTTTTAAAGGTACTTTCTTAAAAGGCACTATAACAGTTGTCAAGTTTAGTGCCGTCTCGTGTTGTATTGCATTTTACGAAACTATAATAAGCGCCATCTTTTGTTATAAAATGAACTTTACAGTGTCATTAAAAACAAAAAAATGTAATTATTATTTAACGACATCTATTGGCAATGAATTTAAATACGTTAATGATGTGTGAAAAATGTAAGTTTTGTCAACTATGACTCCCCTGTATAATTTTTTGATTCTTTAGTTGGATAATTTAGAAGAAAATAATACAGTACTAACAAAAACCATTTATTTAAAAACATTTTCACTATTGACAAGAAATATTACAATAACAAAGACAATCCATCGTTCGTTACGATTTCTTCTCGAGTTTCCTTTTAGAATATTTAAACACCCATCCCATGTTTTATCCACATATTTACTAGTTTATTTATTATTTATTTATATAATCTTGAATCCACATATTCAGGCTGAAACAAAACAAATCAAATTTAAACTATTAAAAACAATCAAACAGGTAAAGAGGGAAATACATTATAAAAACAGATGCCTTATCTTACTAATATTACAAGCTCTAAAATTTAAAATTAGTAGCCTATGTGTGCTTCCAGACTTTCCTCTACATTTATGCGAAATTTCATTGAGGACAGTTGAGCAGTTTAGGCTACAAACTCTAACATACATCACTTTAGTCAAGTATAGAGAAAAGTACATTGTGAGTTACATAAATTACTTACACATCACATCATAAAGAGAAAAGATTTGTATATAACAAAAAAACTCAAAAACTACTGTAGTTATTTCAAAAATTACTACCTAATCTTATTAATATTATAAATGCGAAAGTTTAGATGGATGGATGTTTGTTAGCGTTTGTAGCCTAAACGGCTGAACGGATCTCCATGAAATTTGGCACAGGTTTAGAATACAGTCTGGAAGAACACATAGGCTACTTTTTATCCCGGGAAGAGTTACGGTTCCCGTGGCATTCATTAATTTAGTTTTTATTGTTTACTCGATCATTCTGCAACGGTTCAACATATCTTATTGAAATTTGGCACAGATATAAAACAAAGTGTGGAGTACACATGGGATAAGCTTCATCCCAGAGAAATGTCCGGTTCCCGAGGGATACGTAGCTTTTTTTAATTGATATAGTTCGTATGTTATCTAATAACACGCGGACGAAGTCGCGGGCAACAGCTCGTACCCACCTAAATTGAAAGCATTATCATTCTCCTTATCATACTCCTGTAGGGTCGACAATAGGCTTTTTTCCTCCACATAACTCTATCATACGTCATCTCAGTCATCACTCCCTTCATCATGTCACCTTTTACACAATCCATCCATCTCTCTATGTTTCCCCCTACTGGTGTACCATACTCATAACTAACGTCCTTGTTACCTGCGATTCATCCCTCTTCACAACATGCCCTCATGGTAACCTTTTACTCCTTACTTTCTCTACCACTGGGGCTACTTTCAAACTTCCTCAACTCATTTCATATCCTACTAATTTACTAATATATCAAATGTGATAGTTTAATTGTATGTTTATTATAGTTTGTATCTGAATGGACGGAGTCGCGGGCGAAAGCTATTACGATATATTTATTACGAGCTGTTGCCCGCGACTTCATCCGCGTAGTATTTGAAAACATACAAACTATATAAATTACAAAAAGTTACGTATCCCGGGAACCGGACATTTCTCGGGGATGAAGCTTATCCCATGTGTACTCCACACTTTGTTGAATGTTGCAGAATGATCGAGTAAACATTAAAAAACTAAATTAACGAATCCCACGGGAACTGTAACTATTCCCGGGATAAAAAGTAGCCTATGTGTCCTTCCAGACTACGTTCTAAACCTGTGCCAAATTTCATGGAGATCCGTTCAGCAGTTTAGGCTAAAAACGCTAACAAACATCCATCCATCTAAACTTTCGCATTTATAATATTAGTAAGATTATTTTTTCCACTAAGAAGTCAAAAGCAAAAGACAAAATAATGTACTTACCGAGACAAACCAATAAGAATCCTTTTTAAATATCATTTTAGATATAAATCCCATCTTGGATTCAGGAGCTATGGTATGTAGGTGCAAATGCTTGACGCTACGGAACGGTGGCCAGTGGTAACCGAACCTTGCATCCTCTATGGATAGATTATTCTTTGCTAGTTGCTCTTTGGCTATGCTCAGCATTCTGTCAACTGGAAATATATAACAAGTATTATTGAAGAATGAGTGTCAGTGGCTCAGTGGTTTATGCCACTTGTAATCTATAGGTCTTCTGTTCAAATCCGTCATGTTCCAATGTGATTTTCGAATTTTCATATGTACATAATTTACCCGCCATTCTTATGGTGAAGGAAAACATTCAAACAGTAGAAACCTGCACATATTGGAGAATAAATTCAAATATATGTGTGAAGTCAACCAACCCGCAGTGGGCTAGCGTGGTTGACTGTGGCCTAGTCACCCCTTACTTAGGGTAGGCTCCGAGCCCCTCGGTAGGGACGTGTAGTGAGCTGGTGATGACGATTATTGAAAAATATATGCATAAAGGTACTATATTATCTTAACTAACTCCCAGTACATTTGACCAGTGGCTATGGTATAATGTATGGACTGGCGCCATGAAGTGTTCATTTGCCAGTTGATTGCCAGTCCAGTTATTGACTGTAACTGGCTAAGTGTAAACCCGGAATTAAGTTTTATAATCTACCAGAGAATTTTTTTTTACAAATTTTACGTACCTAAATTCTTGTCAGCCGGTGTTAAAGCTTTAGCATCTTCTATATGTCTTTTTGGTATTGTCAATATATGAAAATCACTCGCCGGTTTTATATCACGAAATACACAAACATCTTCGTCTTCATACAATATTTCAGTGTTTTCTAACTTGTTTATTATATTACAAAATATACAATTCGACTTTTCAATTGCATTCGAAGACATTTTTATTAATTGTTCGATAACTTTGACTTCTTTGTTATCAGATTAAAGCTTTAAATTGCATTATTATCAATATTCCAAATTCCAATGAGAAATATTTTTACCCAGTCGAATTCAAATTGACTTTTGACATTTAGTGACTGACAAATGACAATGATAACTGGATTATTGTTTCTTAAAACAAGAATGGCAAAAGCATTTTAAACATACAGCATTTTGGTTAGAAAAACAAAAACAATTGATTCTAATATCAAAAAATATTATATTATAAGTTTCAGTGCCGAAGTATATATAAATATCCGAAAATATAAAAATACTTTAAAAAGTTACATTTCACATGTCTCACTAACGCCATCTATTGTTAGGTCCTAAAAACTACATGTAATTAATTCTAATTTATTGAATTCCCAACAGATGTCACTAAATCAGAGTTAAATGTTATGTTTCATTTTTCGTCACTGTATGACTTTTTAACATGTCAATACAAGGACATGAGACGGCACTAAACTTGACTACAAACATAGAACCTTTCTAAGTTACGGGTGAAAAAACGTTGTTCACTATGTCTTTGGTTGAATGTAAGCAAATCAGGGTAAAAGTTCTATTCCAGGGGGATAGAAATAAAACAAGTTAAAACTGCATATATACATTATCATTTTAATTAAATCCTAATTACAGTCAAACTTAATAAACTAAAATAACCTACCTTAAAAAAAACAGTTTACAAACACAAAAAAAGAATTCAAATTCAACTTTTCTAATAATCTCATTAGTAAAGTAGTTAAACACAAAACCGTTAATTTAACTTAGCTATATTTTGTACATACTTATGGCAGAAATGTAAAACCAAACACGAATAATCATATTCTTACAATGAACAAATTCTTAAAAATAAACTTGTGGTTAGTTTACACTCAAAAACAGTCTTATTCTGTTCAAAGATAGCTAGATTTAAGAACGAGTTAATATTTACTGAAAATTACGCGCCTTCGACTTATCGCACAACCGTCTAATCTCTTTTTGATTCTTATTTTCTTGTGCCACTAAACAGTTGAACAGTTGTCCAATAATTGTGTGGGTAAAATAACGGAACGCCGAAAGCTGTTATTTTAAAACTTCTTACAACAATCTTATGATTAATTTATTAAAACTTTCGTGAGACATTATACTACATAAATTATAACACGGCTAAACTCTATGTTATAATCATGGTAATAACAATGACACCACCACGTCAGTATCGAGCTCGTCTCCGCCGACGGACATAGTGAATAGTGTACCCCCCGCGCCCCCCGCCCTGTCGAAACGCGCGATGAGGGCGAAGGCCGATGGCACTAGTCTTGGGCTTAATCGGACATCTGCAAGTGCGCACCGTACTAGTACAATTGGGAAAACGTACTAGTACACACTTTTAGTACCTTTAGTACTTCTGATTTGTGAGAACACAATACATGAATAG